CCCCTTGGGGACACACCACCCTTGGGGACACACCACCCTTGGGGACAGCCCTGTCACCCACCTCGCAGGTGTTGTGGATGACGATGGTGTTGGTGCCACCCATCATGATCTCCGACGTGTACTCGTCCAGCGCGCGCTTGCTGTCCCCAACGTAGGGCACGTACTTGATCACCACCTGCCAAGCGACGTCCCCGTCACTGCCATCATCATCATGCGTGTCCCCTCTGTCCCCTGTCCCCCAACTCACGCAGTGGTCGGGCTTGTCCTGGGGCCCGTAGAGGACGGGGTTGGCCTGGACCGTGTCATCCACCACGTTGCTCTTGGAGATCTCCTTGGAGCGGAACTGCTGCGGCGCCGAGAGGTTCTTCCCGTCGTTGTTCCCCAGGTGGTTGTAGCTCACGATGGACTTGGTCTGGGCGGGGGGTACGGTCAGGTCACCCCCATGTCACCGGCATGTCCCCATCGTGCCACCCCATCTCCACCTACCTTGAGCCCAGCGCCCACCAAGAAGTCCACCAGCACCGACTTGAGCTTGGTCTGCCCCGACTTGAAGTCGTCGCCGCAGATGAAGACGCGGCGCTGGGCGGCCAGTTCCACCGCCCCCGGCACGAAGGTGTTCTGGGGGGAACCGTTGATGTAGGCGCAGCCCTCCAGGATCCTGGCCACTGCGAACAGCGTGGACGGGGACACCTCCAGGCCTCGCTGCGGGGACACGGGGGGTGGCTCAGCACCAGTAGGGTGGTGTCACCCCATCCTGGTCCCCTCCTCGTGTCCCCTCCTGACCTCAATGGCCCGCAGCAGGTTGTCGGCGGTGTCGTTGAGCCCCGGCACGACGTCGCAGAAGCGCTCGGTGTTGGCCGTCCAGAGGACGATGACTTTGTCCACGCCGCTCGTCTCCTTGAAGTCCCGGATGTCCCGACGGATCTGCTCCACCTGCGATGTCACCAAGGGGGAGGACATATCAGCGCGGTGGCATCTCCTCCATCACTTGTGGTCCCACTACCGTCCCCACCCAGGACCTGCTCGGCCATGGACCCGCGGAGGACGTTGTCCGCCCGCTCCTCCTGGTTGGCGGCGATGAACTCGGGGATGTAGATGGAGGGTCGGGGCTTCATCTTCTCCAGGTGGGGCCACAGCTGCTCCTGCAGCGGCCAGTCTAGCACCTCCGCCCGCCGCCTGGCCTCCGCCAGGTTCAGCGACGAGATGTCCCAGCCTGGGGGACAAGGGGTGACCCAACTGCTCAGGGTCCTCCAACCCCATTATAGGGTCCCACCACCCCATTGTAGGGTCCACCACCCCATTGGAGGTCCCCCAACCCCACTGTAGGGTCCCTCCACCCCACCACAGGGGCCACCACCCCATTGTAGGTCCCCCAACCTCAACGTAGGGTGACCCAACTGCTCAGGATGCCCCAACCCATCACGGGGTCCACCACCCCATCATAGGTCCCCCAACCCCATCATAGGGTCCCTCCACCCCACCATAGGTCCACCAACCCCATCATAGGGTCCCTGCACTCCATCATAGGGTCCACCACCTCATTGTAGGTCCCCCACCCCATCATAGGGTCCCCCAACCTCATTGTAGGGTCCCCCAACCTCAACGCAGGGTGACCCAACTGCTTAGGATGCCCCAACCCATCACGGGGTCCACCATCCCATCATAGGTCACCCAACCCCATCGTAGAGTTCCCCAACCTCATCACAGGTTCCCCAACCCCATCATAGGGTCCCCCCACCCCACCGTGTCCCACCTACCATCGAAGACGATGTCGTTGGGGTGCACCATGGGGAGCAGGTCCCGGAAGGGCACGTAGACGTCACCGCTGGGGCCAGTGCCCAAGCAGACGGTGGAGGCTTGGAGCAGGGACCCGTAGTAGTTGGCTTTCTGCCATGGGGGACACCAGGATGAGCCACCAGCATGAGGGGGACCTCCAGTACCCCCAAACTGGGGGGGGAGCAGAGCCTGCAGCAGCCCACGCCTCGCAGGGGAAGGGAGGAGATGGGGTTGCAGGAGCCAGGCGCTGAGCTCCGTGTCCCCATCCCTGCAGGGGACCTCGCTGGGGACACCCACCTTGCGCCCCGTCTTGGTCATCCAGGACAGTCCCAACTTGTTGGCCAGCACCGCCGCCGTCACCGTGGTCCCGTTGTTGCCCCCCCAGCCCACCAGCATCACCCCCAGGCGGGGGACGTGTCGCCCCGTCCGGAAGGTGAAGCGGGTGGAACACGGCCGCACCTGAGGGACAAGAGACCGGGGACACGTGGGGACGAGCAGAACGGGCACCGAGCCCTGCTGGGGACCCGTGGGGACGATCAGAACCG